TTATTTACTTAATAATTGCCACTATTTTAACAGGAACTTTAGATTTAACATCCTTAGATACGTTTAAGCAGTATAAATCATTAGTATCCTATACGTATATTTTTAAATTCATTGAAACGCAAAACTTTAAATATCTCGATTTGAAGGTAAATGGAGTTAGGCCACTTTCAAAATAAGCGGCTCATGTATTACACGTGTGTTGGACTCAAAACTTTTCAAACCATCGTCGTTTATTAACTTCATGTTCAGAAATTTTCAGCCCACTTAAACAGAATTTCTATAGACTTACTTTGTTAGTTATTAGACAAAATTGTAATTCATCATGATCATCTCGTCGTCGTCTTGTAAAAAGAAAAAGAAAAAAGAAGAGAAAGGAAAGAACAAAATATATATCTATCGGTTAAAAGGTAAAAGCGGAAATGTATTCAGCATGGTTCGTTAATTAGTTTGAGCGAAGATATAATCAATCTTTCTTGGCATATTTGCTGGAATGTAGCTACTACAGTTATCTTTTCTTACTCTCCTCTGCTAATTAATTCTTTGGACGTATGTATTCTAAGTTTCGTATGTAAGTAGAATGAATAGAATAGAAATAGAAAACACTTACAAATTGATCCCGTCGTATCCGGCACCGATTCCAACATGATCCACCCCGGCAACTTTTCGGATGTGGTTAATGTGTGCTGAAACATTTCAAAATGGTAGACAGTATGATAAATGTAATCATTAGATTTCTGATGTAAAATATATAACGTATTGTTGTTTAATTCGTTTTAAAATTAATCCACGATTTTTACAATCAATGATTTTAACAAATATATTATATGTTCTTAATTATTTAAAAAAGAAACAAAATAAATTGAATACTTTTAGAGGTTATACTTCTTTTGCCGCGTTTTTTTTGGAAAGTGAAGTTAGATGCGATYGAAAAATCTACRCCACGAAGTTGTCGAGTTATTTACRATGCGYGGGCAAATTGAAATTATTTTTGAGGTTRTTGAGGTTATGATTYGTTTTGGGTACGCTAAAAAAGTATAACTTCTTACATGTTACACACATAGTTTTTTTTAAGTACACACATATACACGGTAAAATACCGCCAAATCTTATAAATTTGTTTTTAATGATTTAACATTTAATATTTTACTTAAATATATATTATATGTTCTCAATTATTTAAAAAAGAAACAAAATAAATTGAATACTTTTTGAGGTTATACTTCTTTTGGCGCGTTATCTTTGGAAAGTGAAGTTAGATACGATCGAAAAATCTACACCACGAAGTTGTCGACGATATTTACGATGCGCGGGCAAATTGAAATTATTTTTGAGGTTATTGAGGTTATGATTCGTTTTGAGTACGGTAAAAAGTATAACTTTTTACATGTTACACACATAGTTTTTTTAA